ATTGCCACAGCTTCAGTTGACTTGCCATGAAAATATATCATGATTGTGCTGGGACCTTCTGACTTTCTGGAAAAACTCGCATTACCAAGAAAGATTACTGTTTTATTTTGTTTAGTTAATAAAGAAAATAATTAACAAGGATTATTTGATAATAGGGATTATGGGGTGAGTACAATAATGGATTCCAAGCTGCATCTTTCTAGCCAGGGCTCATTTTATTAGGCAAATACGCACTTTTTTGTGTGATATGAATCAGTTGCTTTCTTGGGTTTCATTATTACGTGCAAAGCCAATTTTGTTCCAGCATCTCTGTTGAGGAATTAATACCTTATGAATGTTCTGGACAAATACAAAAAGATTTAAGAATAATTACTTGCAATTTTTCAAGATCTCCAAGATGATTCTTGTGAATGGTTTTTAGACTGAGCTTTCCCAAATACAGAGGTTATAAAAGCTGGTATTAGGTTTTACACACCAAACTTCTGGTGTGAAACACAAGCAGGGGCAAAGATCCAAGAACCAGCTATTTGCCAGCCTACAAGCTGGTATCACTCAAAATACCCCGTCCTAGTCTATTTCTGTCCAAATACAAATGCATTTTGTAGAACCCTTCTTGCACCTCAGGGGATAACACATAAGAGACATCTCTACAATTAAGGAAATTAAGAGAAATGTTATAAGGATGACAGAAAATAAACTACAGAATAAAATGCGCATTGGGAAAGGGTTGGCATGCAAAGCTAATGCAAAGCAGTAGTTCTGATCAAACTATAGGAAAAAGAAACATTATTTCCTCCCTGGAGGGAGGAAGGAGTTTTGGCCTTTGCTTTTATTTTGCCTTATCACACGGTGTTTGGGGAAGCAGGTAAATGGGACCATGGCGCTCTCTGTCCTTTCCCCTCCAGAACACAATGGAGGATGAACCCCGGGGTCAAGGAGAACAGGATCTGGATTACCTGGCACCTTTTCTTATTCAAATCAGCCACAGTGAGAAAACGACCAAGGCGCAGGCCCTGCGTGTCAGAGATGACTGCCTGACTGATTTTAAGCATCGTCTCATTGATAAAGCTAACATCATCCAGGCTCGTTTGGAAAAGGTATTCCCAGCCATGCTCCGGGACGTGCATGTTACTGGAGTTTCTTCTGTGCTGGCAGGAGGGTAACACACATCTCTGTGACAGCAGGCAAGAAACAAACTTCCTTTGATTACTTCAAGAGAGCCATAAACATGCCTATTTTTTTTATTTTGTTGTTAGCATGTGAGATGAAAGAACAAAATAGCTCCAGGGTGAAATTTATTCCCTATCTCAATTAGAGCTGATTTGGTTCTCCAGTGTTTCTTAACTATAGTGAGGCAACGCATTCAGGTTTTGCTGTCTCTCACTGTTCCACATGTTCTGATTCCCCTTGTTTTCTTGTTCTGTGAGACCTCATCTTGGACTTACTGTCTCCCCATGAAAATAAACCAGCTCTGATTTGTGGATTCCTTCATCTCAGCTCCCTGAACTTTGAGTTGCATTTTTGTGTCCCTTTGTTCCTCGCTCTCCTCTCAATTTCCCTGACTTCTGGTTGCTCACTCCAACAGGCGGTGGAAGAGCAGCAGAAGAAGGACCAGTGGTTTCAGGAAAAACAGAATCAGCTCACTGCAGAGGAGGAGGATGACTTCCTTGCCTGTTGCTCTGAAACCACGTTCCATATCCAGATTCTGGCGCTGAGGCTCAGCAGGTATTGGGAATGACTGCTTGAGTAGTGTTCAGGCGAGGTCTACCAGTCAGCCCCCCAGGGGCTTGGCACCAAAGCTATTCTGTAGAATATTCTACTCCATGTCCTGCTGCAATTTACCTCTGATATCCACTTTCTTGTTCTAGGGAAAAGCAGGCGGCCCCAAAGAAATACCTTGCTCTTGAAGAGAAGCTGCACAAGGATCCTCGCCTAGCTGAGCACCTCAGTCAAGCCTGATTTCTTTATTCCTTCACAGCAGACACTGGAAATCAGTGCTTAAGCCTGTTAGAAGCAGCCTGAAAAAAAACGCGAAGTTTTCCTACTTGACTGCAGTAAAACTTTCATTATCATCAGATTCATGGAGATTTTAAGGAACGTGTAGCATTCCACTGTCTTTTTATTTTCCTTCTTTTGTTCTAAGGACCATCTACAATTACATCAATTGTCTTCTTGTGCAATTCCATCATGCTTGAGACTGAAGTCTGAATGAGACCTTAGCTTTAAAGTCTGCTTCAGAAGTTGCTATAAATTAAGCACACTATATTACAGAGCTTTTATTCCCCAAACCTGCAGACGTCAGGAGCAGGATTATTTGGGAATACTGGTTCTTTTCCAACATAATAGTCTTTTAACAAATTTATGATTTAGTTTTATAAGTAGCACAAGTGAAGACTTTGAACTTATGAGTTCACGACAAATATAAAAATTCTTTGACCTCATTTAGAGCTCTCTATTAACTACAAAACCCAGCAAAACCTAATACTCAAATTGACAAAATTTGGATTTAACATCTTTATTTTTCTCTTGGAATATCTCCACTCACTGATCATAAATATTGGCAGACAGGGTAAAATGTCAAGAGGAATGCAAAAAGCATTCCAAATCATAGATAATAAAGTGTTTTAGTTAATAAGCATTCCCCGAGGTCCACAAATGGAGGTGAGTATGTGTGTGCCATGTAGTGGTATTTATCTAAGTCCCTGAACCTGCTAGGAAATAATTTCACCTATAGTGCATGAGGCATTGCGGACACTTATGGTGGTTCCACCTACAGTTCCAACAGCTACAGTTGTCAAGGAACAACGTCTAATCATCACCTTTAGTGAAAACTATACTGATTGCAGCTCGGGGAAGGCAGAAATGTATTTTTCTGTGATACAGCAGAATGAGGGACATTGCGCCTGAAACACAGCACGAAGCAGAGCCAATTAAACTTCTTGTTTTATGGTAGCTGTCCATTTTAAGTGTAACATACACTAAAGGGTTTTTATGGAGAAACCCCCCCAACTGCCTATTTTACTGCAATGCAGTCATTTCCTTTTGTGTTCTTTCTGTCACGTTTTAAGAGGTGAACACAATGTTAAAACCAAAAGCCATCATTAGCTCATTATGCCTAATCTGGATATCCTAGGTCATTAAAACTTACCAAATCACCCTTATAGAGAGCCATTAATTTACGTGCTGCTTGAAGGATGCACTCCATTTTGGGCTCAGAAAGGGAAAGTATGTCCTGTGGGAGACGGTTGCAACGTTTGACACCCACCACAGCAGATCCCCAGGTCTGCCTGGGCCTCCCAGCTCCCAGTTTTGGAGCTCCGAGATGTCTCATGACAGTGCATCATGTTCCAAGCCATTAGACAACAACACTGTTTCTGGCAGCTCTGCATCCCTCTACCAACGCTTGGCTGAAGTGGCAACCTAGCACAGAAACAGGCCAGGAACTGAGCAAGCTCAGAAACAGCTCCGTCTCCGAGACAGAGAGGTATTCTGGTAAGAACACACTACTGAAAAGGAACATCAGGAACTTTAGGAACTAAGCAGTCTGATTTCCAAATCAAAAGGGCTGTGAATAGGAACTGGGGAAAAAGAACACCTTAAGGTCTCTTCTGAACAGAAACAAAAAAAGGAGCAAGCCAGCCTGTTTATGAATTCATCAGTGGTAGTTAAATACCAGAAAAGACAACAGAACAAATTAATTTTAAAATCCTTTTACAGGTACTAGGCAGATAGCAGCTGCCAAAAAAAAAAAAAAAAAAAAAAAAATCAGCTAATACATATTATCAAGGACTAGCATCAAATAATTTGATTTCCCCTTTTGATGGAGCAACTGGCTTCAGAGACAAGGGAGGGAAGCATAGAAATGGTGGGACTCCATCTCAGCCAGGCTGAGAGTGCCCAGCACAGCTCCCCCGGGGGGGATCACCCGAAGGCAGCAGGAGTCAGATGAGCTGGTGCCAGCGCTGCCTGGCAAAAAGACACAGAAAGGGGGACCCCAAGATCCCCGCTCCC